AGATTCAACCTCATACACTGCAAAAGGGAATCAGTTTTTATGGCCAAGCTCGTCATCGCCTTCTGCGTGCAACAGAGGGCAAACTGGTTCTCAAATGTTCTTCTAGGTTGGGGTAGAAAATGGGCAACAGTTTGTTTAGTCCCATGAAGAGTTATTTCTGCATGTTACTCATGAAATGCACACATACCAGGTTCTATTAATAATAAGATCACCTAGCTCTTATATAGTGCTTTTCATCGGTAGATATCAAAGCATTTCACAATCTTTAATGCATTTGTCCTACAAACACCCTTGTGAGATAGGAAGTTTTACTATCCTCATTTTTAGAGATGGAGAACTGAAGCACAAGATCAGACAGGATGTCTGTGACAGAGCAAGGAACTGAACCTAGACCTCCCAAGTCCTAGGCTAGTGCCCTAACCACTAGACCATCCTTCCATTTTAAAGTATATAAAATGTCAAATACCATTGCTGATCTATCCCACACATTTCACTACAAAGAAAAAACTAACTCCCAAAAAACTACAGTATCATCCTGAGAGCACTTTCTCATGCAAGTACCTTTACTTATGTGAGTTCTAGGGTATGCACGTGTTTTTCCAGAAACACATCTTATGTACTTACAGGCATACACAACTGACCTAACTTCGCAATCAGATCTAAGAAAGCTGTACGATAAAATTATGTCAGGGTGGGGTATAAATGCATCATATCTGTCAAGTCATCTTTCACTTTTCCAGTTTTTTTAGTGTCATTTAAAATGGATATTCATGCTCCTATAACCCAACAAGGTTTCATGTTTACATAGGTAAGAGTTGTGAATTTTGAATGAATTATATCTATATTCAGAAGGTGATTATTACTATTAAATAAGAAAGCCAGATTTATAAAACTAATTATGGCACCTGCACAGTACACTGTACTCCCCACACCATCCCCATAAAAATGTAAGATTTTTTTTTTTTTTAGCAAGCAGATATACTGCAACTATAACACATCACTACAATCACACTGTAACAACTCAACATTACTGTAGTCTAGCAGATCAAACTATTATAAGTAAGACTTAAAGAAGTAAATCACAACTGTCTCCAGGAAAGGTGTTACAAACTAGGCCCCAATCCTGCAAAATTTAAGTGTGTGTAACTTTATGCATAAGTAATTCAACTGAATTCAATGGCACTACTCATGTGCATAAAATTACATATATGCTCACATCTTCACAGGACTGGAGCCTTAATTAATAAATAACCCTCTGTGAGAGAGACAGGCAAACAGAAAATCTGTTGTTTAGTCCACAGGAAAACTATTTCCTTCTGCAACCGAATCACTAGAATTACAGGAGGGGATGGTACTACCATATATTATGCAGGTTTCCTAACACTTCCCATTAGAACACCCTGTTTTCAGTTGCTTATAACTTTGCCAAACTTTAACAGCTTGGGATGAAATTTTCAATGCAAGGGGTCTGACTCGGCTGAATTTTAATGGAAAATTCCACCTAAAGAAGTTCAGCCATTGCTAAGAACAAGGCTAAGGAAAAATATATTGTTATGCTCATGTTAAAAAATTCTGGTGACCTTCGGAGCAGGGACTTGAAATTTGTATGGGGAATAGCCTTTGTGTCAGGAATGTGATTTTTGCCACCCCTGTGAAAATCCACCCAAATTTGGCTCAGAGATAAGCATTGAGGGTGTGGGGGGAGACCACAGTTCACACATGCTTAGTAGAGACTTCTTAGATTTTAGCAGCTAAATCCCAAAGATTCCATCCACACAGGGCATGCTCCAGCCCAAGGCTGAGCAGGACTTTCCCTACAACCGCAGCTCTGGACCATGCTAGGTCTGGTCACCTGAACTGAGAGTGGGAGGCTGTCACTCCTGAGCTTTCAAGGTAAATCTACACTTCGAACTGGGGGTGTGATTCCCAGCTCAAAGAGATATACCAACGCTAGGTTTGATTGAGCTGGCCAGCTAAATATAGACTTCAGCCATGGTAGTGCCACCAGCGGAAGGGGCAAGTTGCCCTGTATGTGCACCTAGCTTCTCCAATGGGTACATACTTGGGATGGCTAGCGCCACCTGCTGCTCAGGCTGCTGCAACTACAGTTTATTTTTAGCATGCTAGCTCAATCAGACTCATAGACAGACTTTAAGGCCATAAGGGATCATCATCTAGTCTGACCTCCTGCAAATTGCAGGCCACAGAACTTTACCCACCCACCCACTGCTGAAATAGACCCCTAACCTCTGACTGAGTTACTGAAGTCTTCAAATCATGATTTAAAGACTTCAAGTTACAGAGAATCCACCATTTACACTAGTTTAGACCTGCAGGTGACCCGTGACCTATGCTGCAGAGGAAGACGAAAAAACCCAGGGTGTCTGCCAATCCAACCTGAGGGAAAATTCCTTTCCAACCCCACATATGGCCATCAGTTATACACTGAGCATGTGGGCAAGACCCAGACAATGGGAAAAGAATTTGCTGTAGTAACTCAGAGCCCTCCCCATCTAGCATCCCATCACCAACCATTAGATTTGCTGCTAGCAGCCACACCTCAGCTACATGCCATTGTAGGCAGTCTTGTCATACCATCCTCTCCATAAACTTAACAAGCTCAGTCTTGAAACAAGTTAGGTTTTTTTGCCCGCACTGCTCCCCTTGGGAGGCTGTTCCAGAACTTCACTCCTCTGATGGTTAGAAACCTTCATCTAATTCACCAGACCTAGGGCTGGTATGCCTCCATGAAATGGGAATCAAACTCCCAGCTCAAAGTGTAGACATACCCTCAATGATCAGCGTGGAGGAGAAAGCGCCTTGATTTTAATGAAGAGGGGAGAAGAGCTGGACCCATGGGAGGGGAAAGGGAAGTAGATTGGGACTGGGAGCCCAAAACTGGCACTGAAGGCTGGCATGGGGGGTGTAGAGAGAAACTGGGAGTTGGGGTGGGGGGGACTGGGATCCAGGAAGAGAAACCAAGGGGTAAACTGGGAGCTGGGGTAGGGGTCAGGGGTCAGGAGATTAGATGAGGAGCTGGAGCAACTGGGACAGGCTGGGCAAGGGGACTGGGACTGAGAACCAGTAGGGTGGAAGAGAGAGATTTGACAAGGAGCTGGGGGGGAGGGGGAAGCTCTGTGATTCAGCATGGGGGTTGACTTCAAGTTGGTGGGGAAAACAGATCAGATGAGGACCTGGGAGGAGGGAACTGGGAATGGCTGGGCAACAAGACTGGGTTGACTGGAGACTCCAGGGACTGGAATGGAGCCCAAGATTCCTGAGTCTTACCATTCCTCTGATGTCAGCAAACATCTGTAAAACCCACTGGCAAAGTGTCCCACTCCCTTTTAGTGCTGGTCCACAATAGAGGATGACAACCTACTAGTTCTATCAGTAACTCAGTTAGCTCAAGTGGCAGCGGTCCTTGTGGGAGAATCTAAAGCAGGGGTTCTCAAACTGGAGGTTGGACCCCTCAGGGGGTCACGAGGTTATTACACAGAGGGGGTCGCGAGCTGACAGCCTCCACCCCAAACCCCGCTTTGCCTCCAGCATTTATAATGGTGTTTAAATATATTAAAATGTGTTTTTAATTTATAAGGGTGGGTCGCACTCAGAGGCTTATTATGTGAAAGGGGTCACCAGTACAAAAGTTTGAGAACCACTGATCTAAAGGTTCCAACCTTGCTGATGACCCATGTGAGTGTAAATATGATGCCACATGATAGAAATTCTGTTTTTTCTATTTGCTTTTTTGAAAACCTAGGAAATTATACAGAAACAACAACAGATTATTAAGGTTGCTACAGAGACAAGGTGGGTGAGGTAATATCTTTTATTGGACCAACTTCCAATAAAAGTTGGAATGAAGTTCCAATGAAGTTGATCCAATAAAAGATATTACCTCACCCACCTTGTCTCGCTAATATCCTGGGACCAGCACAGCTACAACATTGTAGGCAAATTATTAAGGATACAAAGTCAAGTACTCAAAAGTTAGGAACTGCTACAATATAAATGGTCAAACATCACTATCAACATATCCCAGAAGCATCATTACCAATAACTATACAATAGGAGTGTAATTTTGTAAACAGCAAAACACACACAAACAATCACTTCTTATGGGATCCAATGGATAAACCAGACAGATTTTTAAGAAGTGCTGAATTGTATAATTACACAATATTCTTAGAGTTTTTACTGATTTTCAAGCAAAAGTTATGTTTTAAAACAAGTGAAAGTTATGCATTTGCAAAAACCTTTACAAAATATCAAGTGATCACAAAACAATTGGAAGTTTTCAAACTAGTTATTAGGGGATTTTCTTTTTCTTTGTCCATTTTTTTTAAATCAACACAGATTCAACTGCAAATCACTGCATTAAAAATACATATGCTATTCCTGAGCCCCAATTTCAACTTCAGCGTGAGCCATCAATCCAGGCTGAATGCTTCAACCCACATCCAAGGGCAAATGTCAAATCACGGAGCCCTGCCCCACATGGGACCTCAATCCCTTTCCCCTGCTGGGTTAAAAACTGCACCAGTCCCATCGCTTTTATCCGCCGTTTCTTTGCTTTGTTGGCAGTGGATTTTTTTTTTAAAAGACCCATCAATCACCGGACCCATATCCTCTTCTAAGGGCTGTTTACGGGGGCCACCTCAAACGGACCCAGACACCTGATTTCCACCCCCACCTCCAAGAAACTTCAGCCCAAATGAAGCAGCCCCCGGGGCAGGGATGTGACTGCTGGAGACCGGGCGCCCACAAGCGAAGCAGGGGCGGAATATCCCCGGGCAGGGGAGGAAACGGCCCCGGCAGCAGCAGCTGCTCACACGCGGGGGTGGGGGGTGATTGCAGGGTTTGCTCAGCAAAGGCTTCGCCAGAGACACCCGCCGGGTGGCTTCCTTGGCCGGCCAGGCAGGCCCCGCGGGCGGCAGCTGCAAAGCCAGAGCCCGGCCCCGCTGCCGCGGGCGGTGGCTGCAGGGGAGCCGGGGTACCTGGAGAGCGAGTCCACGCTGGGCTGGCGGGCTGCAGCCGGCCTGGAGCCGAGGCTCTCGTAGCTGGAGCTCTTCTCCATCGCGGGCGGCGGCGGCTGCGAGCGGGGGATGGAGATGGGGAAGGGGCGGGTCCCGCCGGCGGCCGCTCAGGCTCGGGGCCCGGGGCCGGCTGGCTGCCCGCGGGCTGCAGCAGGGCGGCTGAGGTGGGGCCGGGCGGCTGCCATGTCCGCCCGGCGTGCAGCGCGAGGGGGCGGGGGAAGAACCAGCCCCCCGGCCCCGCAGTCCAGCCGGCGGGGAAGGGGAGGAGAGACGCCCCCCGAGCCGGGCCGCGGGAGGCCGCTAGGAGGCTGGGACCATCCGACCACGCAGCCTCCGCAGGGTGCCGGCCGGGCTCCCGCCGGGCCGCCTGCCCAGTGCCCTCGGCTATCCCCCGGGAGAGGGGGCGGAGGCGAGCCCCTCCATCCCGGCCCTGAGGAGGGTGGCTGGCCGGCCCGGGACGCCTGAGATCCAGGCTGGAGAGCAACCACTCCCTCCCTTTCCCATTGCCCGCCCGGCGGAGGAGATGCTCAAGGCAAGGGACTGGTCCTGCAGCAACAGAGATTTAGCAGAGGGAGATTGCTGCTAAGCGGGGTGGGGGTAGGCCTGATCGTGCAAGACGCCCCCTCCCTGTCTCATCCGCTGGCCAGCAGTGCAGGACGAGGGGAGGTCAGGGGAAATAATGCTACTAAGGAAGCGGTGGTCGCAGGGTGGGTGGGACCAGCGCAGTGCTGGAGACCAGCCTCAGCCCAAAATCACAGTTTCTGTGTAGGGCAGACCAGGAAGAAAGGCAGGAGGAGGGAAAAGGGGCCCCATTCATCCCTGATGCCTTTCATAGAATCATAGAATATTAAGGTTGGAAGAGACCTCAGGAGGTCATCTAGTCCAACCCCTGCTCAAAGCAGGACCAATCCCCAACTAAATCATCCCAGCCAGGGCTTTGTCAAGCCCGGCCTTAAAAACCTCTAAGGCTGGAGATTCCACCACCTCCCTAGGTAACCCATTCCAGTGCTTCACCACCCTTTGATACCAAAGGCGTTCTGTCAAGGGATTAACTTGGCCCGTGGGGGTGATAAACAGCCACCATCAAGTTGCTAAGAGGCGGGGGTGGGATGAACACGTTGCTGGAGACCACCGGCCTTTCCCCTCTCCCAGCCAAGACAGAAGGCGCAGGGGACAGAGACACATTGCTGGCGATGACAGCAGGAACTGGGGATGGGTAGGATGCTGCTGGAGGGGGGCCACAAGTCTGGAGATCATTCCCTGCCCAGCAGAGCAGAAAGAGGAGAGAGCCCCAGGGATGATACAAAAGATGGATGGATATGGTGGTAACAAGCAGAAGGAATTAGGCCCAGGAGGCCTGTAATTTTCTGCTTAGTGGAGTTGCTGGAAGGACCCGTCAGAAGCATTTCTTGGGGATTTAATCTGTGATGTGTTATAGCCTCCTGCAGAGGTTGTGAGGGGGGCATCTGTTTAGTAGGAACTAGACAGCTGACACCTTAAAGAAGGATTTTAACCTCAAGGAAAACATTCAGATCTACTTAAAAAAAAAAAACCAAACACCAGCCTAACAGCCAGTCATGTTTCATTCTTGTCTATCATTTTTTGCCTTCCACCTTTGTTAACTATTATAAGATCATAGAGAGCAAAGCTGGAAACACCCTGTTTAGCAGGCCCCTAAGGGGGGGGGAGGGGGGAGCAGGGTTATGGAGGAAGGATTGCTCCCTACAGTATATTCTCCAGTGCTAATCACTAAAGGTATTTACATTTAAACAAAAAGGGCTTTTCTTCTTCCCAGCATCTCTCCCAACTTCATCCTGCAGATGCGATGACAGCATATTTATTTCCATGTTACAGGACTGCAGCCGCAAGTGACAAATGCATGGCTATGACTGTTCTGTGGGATCACACAGAAGTTAGGCATGTGGGAGAGAGCTTGTTGAAACACAGCTATCACTGGTAATAGCAAAGAACCAGATTGCACCTGGCCTTTATTCAACTGCAGAGCGCTGGGCAGGAGTTCACAAGGAACCTTCCCCACTCCACTATGTGCCTCTTCCTCAAGGTCAGGTGCAATGGTAATCCCCAAACTCCCCTGTCTAGTGCCCTTGGAGATGCAAGCTGCTTCTAAAGGCCATGGAATGCTGCACCAATTCTCCTGCTATTCCCTAGAAGGGTTTATGCCTACAAAACTCCCTGAGGTGACTGTTAGAAGTAATATTACTGTGACGGGTTTAGTCACAGAGACCCCCTTGGGACTGTCACCTTACATGCTGGAATTACCTTTGAACCTGTTTTCCCTGCCAGCTTGGGACTCCAGAACCCTGCCTTTTTGAGCCAGACATGCTAGCCTGCTCCAACACAGACCCAGGTCTGGTCCACACCCCCAAAGTTGCAGACTTTAACCAAAAACTGCTCAGCAGGTCACCTATCTCCAACATCCAGACACCCAGTTCCCAATGGGATCCAAACCCCAAATAAATCCATTTTACTCTGTATAAAGCTTATACAGGGTGAACTCATAAATTGTCCTCCCTCTATCACATTGATAGAGAGATATGCACAGCTGTTTGATCCCCCAGGTATTAATCACTTTGGGTTAATTAATAAAAGTGATTTTATTAGGTATAAAAAGTAGGATTTAAGTGGTTTCAAGTAATAACAGACAGAACAAAGTAAGTCACCAAGAAGCAAAATAAAGCAAAAACATGCAAGTCTAAGCCTAATACATTAAGAAACTGTTTACAGATAAAATCTCACCCTCAGAGATGTTCCAATAAGCTTCTTTCACAGACTAGACTCCTTCCTAGTCTGGGCCCAATTCTCTCCCCTGGTACAGTCCTTGTTAGTTCCAGCAGACATCTTAGGTGGAAAACAGGGGCTTTCTCATGACTGCAGCCGTCTTTGTTCTGTTCCACCCCGTTTTATAGCTTTGGCACAAGGCAGGAATCTTTTGTCTCTCTGGGTCCCCACTCCTCCCTTCTAAATGGAAAAGCACCAGGTTTAAGATGGATTCCAGTATCAGGTGACATGTTTACATGTCCTGTGAGATCCCAGCCTCCATTCTTCCAGGGCTGACCCACACATACCCAGGAACATAGGCGCCGACTCCGTGGGTGTTCCGGGGCTGGAGCACCCTTGGGGAAAAATTGGTGGGTGCTCTGCACCCACCGGCAGCTCCCTGCTCACCTCCGCTCCGCCTCTTTCCCTGAGTGCGCCGCCTGTCTGCTTTTTCCCCCTGGCTCCCAGCGCTTGTGCCGCGAAACAACTGTTTCACAGCAGTAAGCACTGGGAGGGAGGGGGAGGAGGGGGAACGTGGTGCGCTCAGGGGAAGAGGCAGGGCCGGGGAGGGGATTTGGAGAGGGGTCCAATAGGGGCAGGGAGGGGGTGGAGTTGGGGCGGGGACTTTGGGGAAGGGGTTGGAATGGGGGCAGGGCCAGGGGCGGGAGGGCGCGAGCACCCACCGGCGCTGGGAAAAGTTGGCGCCTATGCCCAGGAAGGTTTGCAAGTAAAGAGCCATTTACAGGTCATTGATTCTGAAGCACCCTTAATGGCTTCCACTTAATAGGTTTACATCAGTAATACAGATTTATATCTTATTTTCCTAACTTCAGACATAGAAATAATACATCCAAACAAACAGGATGAACACACTCAGTAGATTATAAGCTTTGTAATGCACCTTACAAGACACCCTTTGCATGAAGCATATTCCAGTTACATTATATTCACACTCATAAGCATATTTCCATAAAACATTATTTCCATAAAACAATTACACTACACGGTCGATAGAGCCCCCAGATTAGGTCCCCCTTGTGCTAAGTGCTGTCCATACATATGGTAAGAGACAGTCACTTCCTCCAAAAGCTTACATTTAGGCATACATACCTCACCTCAAAAATTGTTCCAAGGTTATCCCAAAACCAGATGGGATGGGTATTATGGAACATGGTGGGTCAAAATGATGTGACTAAGTAGGGAGTCAGGTCTGAGTCCCAGCACAAAAAAGAAGCTGATTGAACGGTTGCTTTTTTACATGGATCACAAGTCACTTTGGGTGCCAGAGAAGGTGCTACAATAAAAGATCACTACCGAGAGTTAGATAGTTCTGTGTGAGAAGCAGCTTGATATTCAGCCTCTTGAAACACCTCAATATGCAAGAGAAAATATTTGCAAAGATTACAGAGTTGCAGCTTTGGGTTATCCTGGATGACAGCAAGGAAAGGAGTCTTCTATATTCAAAACTGTTTAGAGTGAGACCCTGTGAAGCAGAGAAAGAAGCCAAAGAACTGAGAAAGAGTCAGCACAAGAATCCAGCAAGGCCCACTAACCATGTCTGTCTGCTGGCAGAAGAACACCCACTGTTATTAACATCAGAGTATAAATTGCACCAAAAAGACCTGCAGTGGTAGGTGTAAACAGGAGTTGGAGTTTGCAGCCATGCCATCTCACAGTGCTCACAGGTGCTTATTCAAATAGGCCACTGCTTTGTAACACCCTCATTGTCATCAGTGGCAAATAGAACCCACAACCTTCTACAGCCAAAGCTCCGTTAACTCTACTATTTGAGCTAAAGGAGAACCTCTGTCAGTAAAGAGAAAGTAAGAGTCTGTATGGTTCTTATGCAGACCTTACTTACCATGCCTAGGGCGGCCAGGTGCCTGGTTTTTGACCGAAAGGGGACCTGATAGATCTACTGACCAGACACCCAAAGTCCCGATTACTGCAGGGCAGGAAGGTGCCAAGTCATCACCCACACCAGCCCCTACTTAGCCACGGGCTGCCTCCTACCTGCCTCAGGCGGCTGCAGCTCCCAGCCCCAGCTCTGCAGGCAAGTCCCTCCCAACCTGCGCAGAGATGGGCGAGAGAGGGGAAGAGCAGTGAGCAATGAGGGGACAGGGAAAGAGGAGAGAATGGGGGCGGGGCCTCAGGGGGAAGAGGTGGGGCAGGAGTGAGGCCTGAGGGGCAGGGTCTAGAAGGAAGGGGCAGGAGAGGGTTTTCAGGGGCAAGGAGAGGTTCCTTCCAGCACTCCTGCTGGAGTGTCCAGCTTTTAGATATTACAAAGTTGGCAACCCTAACCAGGCCAGTGTGTTACACAGGTGTACTTCATGTCTTATGATGTTTACACCTTATGGCAGAAACTGCTGTGTGCTGAGCACTTCAAAATTCTGATTATTAGTGTCTT